CAGTTTGTTTCCTGAGATTAAGAATTCCTCATATCAGTGAGGTCATATGATATATGTCTTTCTCTGATTGACTTATTTCACTCAGCATAACACCCCAGGAGGGAGTTTCTAAACTCAGAGACAGTTGTCTTCAATTTTATATACATTTAAGAAAAAGTGTATGCAAAGATGAACCACTAAATTCTAAACCTAAAACTAATATTACACTGTATGAAAGCAGAATAGTTAAAGATTACAAAGAATTAGATCAGTTGTTTAAGGTATATACAATAAATTATGTGTTTATCAATAATACCAAATGACAGGGTGCCTGGGTGGCTCAGTCGGTTGAGCATCTGCCTTCAGCTCAGGTCATGATCCTGGGGACCCAGGATCGAGCCCCATGTTGGGCTCCCTGCTCAGTGGGGAGTCTGCTTCTCCCTCGGCCCCTCATCCCTCACCCCACTCATGCTCTCTCTCAAGTAAATAAAATCTTCTTTAAAAAAATAATACCAAATGACATTAAAAGGCAAATTAGAGTCTGAGAGAGGGAAAATTTATAAGGAAATATAAAAATGCAGTTTAATATATTGGAAAGCTTTTAAAAACAGTAAGAACTTATTAAACTCAACACCCAAAAAACAACCCAGTTAAAAAATGAATAGACATTTTTCCAAAGAAGACATCCAGATGGCCAACAGACACATGAAAAGATGCTCAACATCACTCATCATCATGGAGATACAAATCAAAACTGCAATGAGATATCACTCACACCTGTCAGACTGAGTAAAATCAACAACACAGGAAACATCAGGTGTTGGCAAGGATGTGGAGAAAGGGGAACACTCTTATACTGTTGGTGGGAATGCAAGCTGGTGCAGCCCCTCTGGAAAACAGTGTGGAGGTTCCTCAAAAAGTTAAAAATAGGGGCACCTGGATGGCTCAGTCGTTAAGCATCTGTCTTCGGCTCAGGTCATGATCCCAGGGTCCTGGGATTGAGCCCCACATTGGGCTCCCTGCTCTGCGGGAAGTCTGCTTCTCCCTCTCCCACTCCCCCTGC